CGGTTCGGGGTGTCTGTGTTGCCTGTGGGTGATGGCGGATGCTCTTCGGAGTGCCTCCCTGGCTCAGTGGTTGGTGGGAACCAACAGTCTGCGGGTTCAATCATTGTGTGAGTAGGTCATGTGCCACTTTGCTCCGTGTTGGATGTGTGGACGGCCCCGTCTACGCTCCACCGCTGCCCGTCCCGCTTGCTTCTCAAGTGGTTCTTTGCAGGTTGATGTGTTCGCTGTATGGTGTGGTCGTGTGTTGGTGTTGCTTGAGCTTTGCTGCTCCATTGCCTTGCTGCCCTTCCCCCGGTTGTGCCTTCCGTGTCTGCTGCTTGCGGGCCTTGTTGGATGGCTGCCTTGTCGCTGGTGCCTTGTGCATCGCTCCAATGTTGCCGAGCTGCTGGTCTTCTCGCCATGTTGTACCTTGCAGTGTGGTTACCTTGCTTGTGTAACCTTGTGCTTCATTACACGGTTGGCGCGCTGCATGTTCTGCATGCCATATCATTCCTTGCAGTCGTTTTTGGCATTGTGGAGCCGTGTTGCCTCTACTGTGCTGCCTGCTGCTATGCGTTCCGTGTGGGGACAGTCTGCCTTCACGAAGGGTCAAAGGGTTCATGACCCATACCATCAAATATGGAGATTCCGCAGATTGCCAAGGGTAGTCTGCTTTCAACAAGGGTCAAAGGGCGCACGACCCAAACCGTCAAATACGCAGATTCCACAGATTGCCAAGGGTTCAGCTTCCTGATGAGTAGGTGCAACTCCGACGAAACAATCTTGGTATCATCAGTTTTTTGGTTCTTTTGGGACTCGTATTTTTCTGCTCGCATGTTGCCTGCCCCTCCCACCTCCCCCGTGCCCTCCAGCCTATGCCTTGACGTTCTTTTGATTGCTTGGTTTTGGCATGCCTTGATGCCCCTCTAGTCTGCCTGGCCTTGGCATCCTTCTGGGACTCGTTTTTTTGGGTTTGCCTGCTGCTGTGCTTGCATGTTGTCTGCCCTCCTGCCTCCCTCATGCCCTCTTGCCTATACATCTGGTACTTTGGAAAGCTGGTCATGGATAACCATGTATGCATGAGATAGCTTCATGAGATGTAGTACAGTGGCAACATACAGCGTTAGTTTGGTTGCCGCAGGGCGGGGCGTCCCATGGGGGTTCCAAGGGGTGCATGGTGAGTACACTATGGGATATATCGGACACACACACACACACACACACACACACACACACACACACACACACACACACATTGAAAGAGTTTAGACCACCACTACCTGTCACAGGCAAACTAGTAGCCTACTCCTGAAAACATGTGGCTTGGGGCAGTGTTGGAGGCCGACAAAAAAAAGAAAAAAAAAGAACAAAAAAACAGAATGAACAAAGAGTCCCCGCTCCAGGGACATCGGAAGGCCCTCACGAGGCAAACGCAGTTACACCAGTGCTTCTAGGAATGTATCTGGCCACTACGTCGGGAAAAAGATATGCAGTTGGGTTTTTTTTTTGTTTTTTTTTTTTTCAACTCATTATAGTGCCCTGCCAGCCAGGCAGGGCGTATTTCACTCGTGGCATATAACTTGCTCACTGCTGTAGCATCATGTATCCTCCCTCAATCACAGCATAAGGGATTCCTTCATTTTTTTTCATCGCTTCACTGTTTTTTCCCGTACACACGTTCACTAAGGGCACAGTCACAAGAGCACCTCGTAGAATGTATCTGGTAGTTATCAAGGCGTTTGGGAAGTCCCGTCTTTTTTTTTCTTTCTTTTTTTTCCCCTTGTTCTTTCTTCCATGAAACTGCCCCGGCTCGGCCAAACTCGGTGTGCAGTGAAAATCAGGGTCGGCAAAAACAGGCTCGGAGGTAGTGGTGGTTCAAGGAAAAACAAGAGAAGAAGGGAAGAGGGAAAACAAAACAGTGCGTGGCCGGAGCACATTTGTGACATCGCCATCTTTGGCAATGTTTCATTTTTTTTCGGTTTAACCAAATGCCCTGCAAATTTATAGGGATGCCCTACATGAAACAGAAGTCGCCATTTAAAAAAAAAAAAAAAAGAAGTCCCGAAATTATTTCTGGCGGGGTTTGAACTTTGGGAAGTTCGGCCCCCTCACGTTCGGCCGGACACCCGAATGTTTGCGGGGGGTGGAGACCCCTCCCCCCGAGCATTCAGGCAGGTAACCCTGATGAGCAGTATCTAATTTTCTCTCCCTAGCCAAGGTCTTAACCTCATGACATTCCCTCAAGAAGCCCAAGTTGCCTACGCTTCTACATCATTTCAAACCTGGGAGTCCAGTTTTCCATGTTCTTAACCCACCTGTATGTTTCCCGCAAATTCCTAGCCATTTCACATGCGCGGCCCATTTCAAGAGCACGGCCGTGTTCTCGCATGGCTAGGAAACGGACTGGTTACACTAGAAGAAGTATCTTTCGCGTTCAAAATACAGGGACACTCTCTACAGCATGCACTAAGCTCACAAAAACTCACACTGACACTGGGGGTATGCATGCCTTGCCCCGCGGGGGGGGGGGGGGGGCGGCGCAATTGCCAGCACCTCTATAGTCAAATTGCTCAACCGCACAGCCCTGCCGGCAGCTGACATTTGCCACGTCAATTGCGAATTTGATGGGTGGGTGGGCAAACTGTGCCTTCAAAACCACAGCAATAAACGTTAAAAAAACTCTAAAAGAAGCCTCCCTAGTGTGAGTAGGCCCTTAAGGTTGGCATAATGTGCCTCAGAAGTACAGACCATCGGAGATTACAAGATTTCACTACATCATCACCATCATTATCTATTGGAGTCCTGGTTTCTGCATCACTAACCAACTACCCTTATATTCAGAGTCTTCTGCAGTTTCTGGCACAATGTGCCGCATTCTGAGTATTCAGACTCCGCTGCAGATTTGTCGGGCTGCAACTGTGCGGGCGAGTGCTAACTGATTGGTTCCCTTTTGCCTTCCTGATGCACCTCGATCACGAACTGTACTGTGCACATGCTGCCTCTGCAATGGCCCGCACAGCTGCAGCCTGACAAATCCGCATCTGCTGCACTCGGACTCGGCAAACGCAGCAAAAGGGAACCAATCAGCAGCACTCCGACTCAGCAACAACACTGCAGCGTCTGTGCTGAGTCGGAGCGTCTGCTGATGTTGTATGTATGTCTGGGTGCTTGCCTGTGAGGCTGAGTCATAGCCTCAGTCTGCATGCTAACTCGGTTTCCGTGTGTGTCTGTGCTTTGGACAAGTGCAGTTAGTGGATTTGCTTAGGCTCACAGACAGGCATGGAATTTCACTGTCGGAGGACATTCGTGAGTTGCGAGGGTTAGTCAGGGGCAAAGTAGAATTTGTTAGTGAGCTCGTAGTAGGGATAAAAAAAAAAAGGGATATATCCATTATGTCAGGTATGCCGTAATGTCCGGAGGCTAGCAGATAAGAGTCATGACGTTACCAGTCCGTATGCAGCCAGGATTAGGACTAGGTACAGGTCTTAAAGGTAAGCACAATAGAGCAAGGGGATGAGGCAATAATTCACATCATTCAGATAAAAGCGTAGTCCAGGTGTTCGCCTGAACATCTTTGCTCTGGTCCCACCATGACGGAGAGGCCGGCAGAACGCTTGGGTGACTACGGAGGAAACGAAGCTGAGGAAGAAGACTTCCATCGCTATGGAGGAATGGTTCCAGAAGGGAGAAGGTCTAGGAAGGACCTCAAGCTAGGCTATGGAGGTATACGGAAGGTAAGAGTAGAGGCAGAGGAAGAACCACGGAGGGAAGCCACAAGATAAACTCACAATTGGCTATATATTGTGGACAGCCTCCACTGCCTTGGCTGGCCCGGTTCTAGAGCCCCCCTGCTGAAATGCCAGTTGCACATGGACATCATCCAGGGGTGTGGCTTTGGCTGTAAGAAATCGCATATACATTCTAAGTGTGTTGTCCTATGCTCATCCGAATGAAGCACTCCAGTCCATTGACAGCGAACAAGCACAGCTGTTTGAGTGCTGGCAGTGAGGGGGATCATTCGGACATCGATTCTTGTTCATTCATCACCTATTGTATTTAGTTGGTAGTCAGGAGGCGTGTTGGTTCTGTAGGCTTTAAGGCGGAGCACATCCCGAAACAAGGATGAAGACGACGTCAAACAAGACACACCCAATCTTGTGCGCTTCTTCGTTCACTCTTCTCTCCCTTTTGCCTAATTCCACTGCTTGACCTGCGATGCAGGGCATCGTGTCAAAAACTTGACTCGTGCTTCATGAGCTGAACAGGATAATACCACCTACAAGGTCTCCCTGTTGAGAACCTGCTGAAGTCACTGACCATTTCTTAATGAAGAGGAGAGCACACAGATATAGACCAGACATCCTAACCCACACACGTCATTCCTCACATTGGTTTCAGCATATTCAAGACGAGCAACGGACTCCAAAACGCGGCAACCTGCGCCAGTTTTGGCACCAGGACACCTAGCAAAAGACCATTGCCCTATTTTTGTGCCAGTTGAAAAAAAAAAAAAATACCCAGCAACTAAATGCAAAGAAAGGAAGTGCCTTACCAAGGACATCAGATGTCAACATAGACTCCTGCAAAGTGAAAGTTGCCCGTGCACGGAATATAGCCCCTATCTCACTTCCTTCATCATTACATTGGTGCAGACCAAAGGGAGCTTCACCGCACATCACCAACACTAAAGCAGACAAGTATTGGTTGATTACAGAACAGCTGCTTTCGCTATCGTGATGGAAGAGAGCTCATCACAACAAAAGGCGGAAGAGGATAAACAAACAGGAGTTGCTTGCGCCGGGGCGTTCAGAGTCGATAAAGCAATCCATGACCTTCTGGGAAGCCATTCTTGTCAGCTTATGGCTTTGGAGATCGGGTGCGCGGCTTTCCAGGGGGAAACGTCCCTGCAATCAATCCAATCACACAACAAACCTGTTGTCTAGCAGAATGGCAAATGGGACATGGAAGTTTCAACATCGAAAAGGCATATACAACATGAAACCACAAGAACTAAAGATGTAAGAAAAGAGCAACATCTGGAATCCAAGAGAGAAAAGGTAAAACCTTTCAAAAGCAACTTCATCAATGAAGGATCTCTTTCAAACAAATTTGTGAAACGAACAAGTTGTGGCAGAAAGCAGTCCACCACAAAAGACAGAAAATTGGCACTGTGCAAAACCCCGCAGTGAAGCAAGTCTCTAAATCCTTTTGAACTAGGCACAGTCCTTGCACACCCTCAACACCACTGCCAATTTAAAAAAGGACATGCCTGACCAGTAAACCCAAATAATGACCCTGTGATTGAAGCCGTCACCATGCAGCTCCACGAAGAAATATCTGCATCAGTCAAAGGTAAGACTATCCACGATATGTCACGGCCACTCCCATCCTGAATGAAATGCAGATAAGACTATCTACGATATGTCACGGCCACTCGCATCCTGAATGAAATACTGCTCAACGCTGAAGAGCTCAGCAGTACTGGGTAGAAAATCATACACAGCTCATGCCCACCAAAGAAGATGGCATAACACACATGCTTGCCTGGCCTTGATACAAACTAATTCCTGGGCTGCGACCTTTTCCTTCTCCAAGCAGCACCCCTCGGGACTCCCCATAAGTCCGGTCCCTTATCCCGCAGACCTTTTCCTTCTCCAAACCACCTGCCAAACATCCACCCGTATCGCCAAAGCAATGGCTTGACGCTCCCATGGCATCTCGGATCGCTCATAGCTCCGCCAAACATGGCCTGAATGGATTAGACCCCGCCACTGCAATTGAATTCTAGGCTTCTAGCTGATAACTGCATCAAATCACGCTGCCAGCAACCACCAGAAGCATGCACCCATGAAAAAGAAACAGATATGGAGGTCATTTCCCATACCCCTCTACATGAATGACCAGACCTGGAGCGACCAAAGGACATGCTGCTTTCAGGCCAAGATTTCCCCGATCCTGGCCACCCACAACATCTTCCAACCTTAAGCTGCCCCCTCCCCTCCCCCTCTGCTCCTCCTCCCAGGAGTCCCAACTTGGTGCGACCCTCAACAGATAAATGATAAACAGTGCACTAGACACATTGAAAATCAACAACTGGATCCCTCAGTCTCAACACGAGAGCAACGTCACGGACCCTGCATGCTGTCGGGCCAACCGTGGCATTTCCAAAGTGCATCACGTGAGTCAATTATGGCCGTAGTTCTTCCTAAGCTGACCCCTCCTCCCGACCTGACATCTGCTCAAGGAGCAGACCCCTCCTGCCTCCTGTCCCTCCAGCCGCTGATCCCAGACCCACATACCTGCTCCTTCACAACACGCCTGGATGCTTTAACTGAGTTAAAAATGGCAGTACACGAAGACGGCAAATCAACTGCTGCTGCCACTCTCCTACCAGCTTCTACAGCAACTTCTTCCTTTCAAAGTAACTCTTCAGATGATACAGCTGCCAACCCGCGACAGCTAAGCAGATAAACAATGAGGAGATGCTAAACCAGGCCACCCTCGAGTTGGTCAACTCGTTTAAGTCGCGCATTTCAGACTCCCTGAAGACACAACCAAGCAAAACACAGATTCCATGCAATCAAAGAATCAGTGCATCGGCGCACAGTGCCATAAAATCTTATTCCTGCCTCAAAAGTTTACTTTGAGATGATGCAAACCAATAACAATTCCTTAGCACATAAAACATTTTTTCCACCTCATGTACATCTAAAAACACAAGTGACAGATTAAACAATGCAACAGGGCATTGCAACGACTTGCTGGTTCCAGGCTGCCTGTAGCCTCTCTCAGACGAGGCTGTACCATAGGTAGGGACAGATTTGTAATTTTGTTTGGCCGAGGGATAACCGAGAGACCTACCTGCAAGGAAAATTCGTGAGGGACATATTTGTAAATATAGGAGATATGGGCCTGGTACTAACTCGAATTTCCTACAGTTACACTAACCGCGAATAGCAGACCCGGGCTACCCCTAGGACAGACAGGCCCAATGGGCCTACACTGATAGACGGTCCTGTAGCCTATAGCCGGGTAGGGAGAGGCCCTAGCGACCGAAACAGAAACGGTATCGGTCGGTCAGTCAGTTCGGTCTAGGTCGTGTCTAGGCTAGTCTAGGGTATAGACAGGATGGGGACATCGGTCCTGGGCTTTTGGCAGTTGACACTTCGTGGTGGAAGTTGCTGCGCACATGGTATCGGAGCGCTGACCAGACTGGGGTCAATGCTGACCAGACTGGGGTCAATGCTGTCCGCTCTGACTCTCTGGGAGTCAAAGCGGTCTGGGCTATCAGAGGTCTGATGCGTTGGAGCACGTGGTGCACTGCTGACCCTCCTCAGGAGTAGGGTCCCAGTGGCGATGCAGCCATAGCTGCATCTTCTCAGAGGATATCATCGTCTGGACTTCGTCTTCATCAGGGACTGTTGGCGCTGAGCTTCTTCTTCATCATCTCGGTGGCGATTGGCTCTGGGAGCCTGTTTCATCTTGGCGCAGGCCACTGAGTTGGATGTCAGGGTGGCGCTGGGTGTTACCTGGGGTGCTGGCGCTATTTTTAGCTGCTCGGTGTGTGTGGGGTTGAAGCGCTACCCCTCTGAGGGTAGCGCAACAGGGATCTGAGGTTATTCAGGGAAAACGATGCTCTGAGTTTAATAAACAGTTGTAATACTGTGTTTGAGTTGTCATCTCTTCATTGATTTCTGGCTGTGATCTCTCGGTTGTCTTCTATGAATGATTGTTGGGACTTGTGTGGAAAGAATCCACAGTTTCGTGTGTTCTGTCACTCCGCTCCTCTGAGTCTTCCGCTGCGATCTTTCTGTTGGGCAGTGTGACACTACCTCTCCCCTTCCTTCTGTGCATGTATGGGCGTGTACGGGAGTTCCTGTGAGTGAGCGTTGATAAAATTTCAACGGACAATGATGTTCATAACAGCATAATCTCCTTTCAACCTTACATACAGCATAAAAAGGTCACCAACACATAAAACACAATTCCATCACAGCTTAAACAGTTACCAACAGATTAGAAAAAGCCATCAGCTCCTGAATCTCCTTGCATCCAAACAGCATCCTGAGGTTCTGAGTACGAGTCTCGTAATCTTGCTATGTGCCGGAACACCTCGGAAGGTGCGAAGTGCAGAGTCCCTGTCCGCTTATATTTCTAAGTGAATGATCCCCATGCGTTGGGTTCTAACTTCTAACAAGCAGGTCATCAGCAGGAACCCAAAAGAACAGTATGCACTCTGACACGCCCTAGACAGTGAGCAAATATCAGATAATGGATTTAGTGAAATATCTAACATTTTCAAAGATTATTTGCCTTTCGAGTATTTGGGGAATCTATTTAACTAGAAAAAATACAGAGATCCATGATTTACAGCTCCAGGACCTTTGGCCTCCAGGGATCCTTCAATACACCATTGTGCACCATAAAAGGCACCAATTATAACATCGAGGACCGTGTGGGGCTGGCTTTTCCCAGTGATCCTGTAACATGCTGAGGCCCCTACACGGGGCCCCTTTTGGGGCCCGGCAGTTGTTCCAGGCCCCCATGCCGTGCACCCATTGTTGGTGAGCAACATGGGGGCCCGCGGCCATTTTCCAGGCCAGGCACCACACTTGGTTCCACAAGTGCTCTCCTTTACTCGGCATCCATTACTTTTGCTGGGACTATTTTCGTCTGTGTCGGTTCAGACTTTTCTGATTGTCCGAACAGGCAGATGCATGTTCGGATCTGCCTGTTCGGACCAGTGGACTTACGTTTCGCTTATTGTAGGCCAGGTTCAGATTTTTCCGTATGCGGGACTGGACCAGGCATTCGTCCGTTTGTGCCTGACCCAGCCCTCAGGACCCTGCTGCATCAGCAGGGCCGCCTGGACATCCGGTAGCGACCCAGGCAGGCCGTTTTTGCCCACCAGGATTTGGGCCTGCGATCAGGACCATCGATCAGACATCAGATCCACTGTCCTGATTGCAGACCGCAGGACTGCTCAGCCAGGCTCAGCAGTATATAGCTGGGACCTCCAATCTCTGTACTCCGATTGGAATGAAGAAAGTCACATGGCGGTAGAGCCCCTTGTGCATGGAAAATCACCAACGAAACCCCCCTTCCCACTGGGCCTTTCATTCTGGCTTTCTTCGCCGGAAACATTTGAATCCGAAAGAGTTGTCAGCTCTCTTTTGAAGGTGAAGGAGTCTCCTGAGCTTCACACCATGGCAGGCGTGCCACTTCTCGGTGGCCCGCATTGCACCCGATTTCAATTGTTGTGTCCATTCCGTGGGCAACGATGGCTACACGTCCTGTGGCGGTTATAGGTAAAAGGGCCGCACTAAGGTTGCGTTATCCACTACGAAACCTCCCCATAACCAAAACTCACATAGTCATCACCAGAAAAGGCGCATTGCATCCGATTTTAATTGTTGTCCACTTCGTGGGCAACGACGACTTCACATCCTATGGGGTTTATAGGTAACAGGGTCACACTAAGGTCGCGTTATCCACTGAGAAGCCTCCCAATAACCAAAACTTGCATAGTCATTACGGGAGAAGGATTCTATTTCCTGGCACACATCGTGCTCACACAGGCTGGAGAAGGATTCTATTTCCTGGCACACATCGTGCTCACACAGGCTGGAGAAGGATTCTATTTCCTGGCACGCATCGTGCTCACACAGGCTCGACAGCAGAGTTGCTTGCTGCAAGAAATCATAGGAAACACTTCTTTCGCAAACTCGTTTCGTAATAATCTCACAAAGGTTCCACCGTACACCAAGTGATCAGTGCTTCAGTTCCATTGATATAAGGTTGGGAAAGACTCATTTCATAAACAAATGAAGACACAGCAACTGGAAAGATAGAACACAATCCCAAGCAATGCAGACACCATTGTTCACAACCTAGGTGCTGACGGTAGTGGTTCGCCTTTGAGCAATCAACAAGCACTCGAAGATTCCAATCACAAACGCTTACCGTGGTAGCCGCTCCAGACTCTAGTGAGTACTGTCCCTCAGCCACGAGACAAAACCTTAGATGCCATCCGCACCTCCAGTTTGCTGACAGGCATGGTCCCTCTCTCTCTCTCTCTCTCTCTCTCTCTCACACACACACACACACACACACACACACACACACACACACACACACACACACACTCGCTCACCCACCTACCCATGCGCCCACGGCTCCCCCCAACCAACACCCCTGCTTTACGAGGTGAAAATCTGACTCAATGCCTCACCCTTCCATCCTACCCAACCCCAAATCAGAATGGTTGGAAAAATTACACAGGCAGTACGTCAAAACCAGCAAACCAGCAACATGAATCAGGACGATTGAAAGAGAACAGACACACCAGAGAACCTAAGTGGGGGGAAAATGTCGAGATTTACATCGAAATTGACCAACCAGCATTCTAAATCAGGATGGTTGGAAGAACACAGGCACACCAAAGAACCTACGCTTGTGAAATCAGGCACTGTTTACTCCAAAATCGATCCAGGGCTCAAGGGGCATGGAAACGCACCTCTCCTTCATGTATAGCATTTCATCGTGGATAGCTTGCGCTTGCTCTTCCAACTTTCTCAGCTCCAGCTCAAGGGTCTGCAAGAGGAAATAGAAGCCATCACACCATTCTTTAGCACCACACCATTTCCAAGAGAGTAATGAGACTCTTCCAAGGACTACATTTACCCGGTACAGAGGGATAGCTCACCGTGCACGGTTGGAGCAAGGGCCCTTTCAGCACATGATCCCTTGTTACAATCCGACTGCCATCCTCAGGATGGCAATCACATTCCACCGCCAAGTCACTATTGGTTGTGCACTGCTCCCAGCCATCTCTCGGATATTCGTCCTCCGAGTGAAAGGCCATACACGTGGAAAGCCATGTACTCCTGTACAGGAGCTAACAATGCTTCCAAGCAACTTGAGATGAAACCTGCCATAGCGTAGGGCAAACAGGCCCAGGAGCAGGGTACCAATCCCGCCGTGCCGTAGGACAAGACTCCCTCGAGAAGGATACTGACCAACAGCCAAAGACGCAGCAAAAGAGGAAGTCGGATTTGAGAGAGGACTGACAACACCATGCTTGAGAGGGAAACTGCTCAAGAGGCCCGACCATGGGCAGACCGAACGGAAATGGAAGCAAAAACCACATGATTGAGGACAAAATGTGACCCACGAAAAGAACGACGTCCACTGGCAATCGAGGACCGGAGAACGAATCAGGACAGCAAAATTTCACAAGGGTGTTTAACAAGGACAGGAAGAACTATGTCCGGGTGCGCAGTAGACAAAAGAGGATTCATCAGAAGGATTAACACAGGAGACGAAGGTAAATAAAAGGAAAACAGAGAAGGAAAAGACAGACCACTGCGAGTAGGCAGGCAAAACATACAATGGCGTTGAAAAAATAATATCATAATAAGGAATTTGAAATTTCTCACAGTGGCCATTTTTTTTTCCTTTTCTTCTCCTAAATCTGCATTCATCGTGGCACCGCTGGACGACGGCATAATGGCACGCATCGTTCTTTTTTCAACACCAGAACACAGGATCGTTCTTTTTTCAACACCAGAACACAGGAACGTTATGATAGGATTTGACGAGGTTTAACACGGATTCCGCTTCCCAAAAAGGAATGGCCAAAAGAATCATATCGCGGTAATGACAGAACACGATAGCAACCCACAAACACCCAAAAACAAAGGCAGCTGTGTGCTTATGTGTATGTGTCGTTCTGTTCCCTAATCACATGGCGGTAGTCACAGCTCCACACAAAAAACAACACCGTGCCAAATTGTTTCGTTGGACTTTCACGGACTCATCTATGTGCGTGTATAAGTGTATTGTTATGTTCGCTATACAGAACTCGACAAAAAAAAGCACGACTGTGCCAGACTGTTTCCCAGGACTTCCACCGACTCATCAGCCAGGAGGTTGAAGCCCGACAGACAGTCTTCCCAGGATGCATTTGACTGATGGTTAAGGACTCTCACCATGGCACCCAGAGTTAACGATACACCTGAAAAAAGTGGTCGATTTCACTAACAACAACTCTGCAAGCAATCCTAGCACACTGTGCATGTGTGTGTGGAAGAAAGGAAATCGATAGGGGCCCGTCATTATTCATGGACGCCCGAATTCGACAAGTTATTGCTATCTCACTCCCTTGCAGATTTCAAAAAACAAACGGAAGGCCAAAACAGGCGTGAGATCGCCCAGGGTTAGCAATACCCCTGAGAAAAATGGTCTTACTCACACCAACCCTGCCATCCTACATGTAGCAGACCGTATATGTGTGCGTCAATAGCAGCCCGTCATTATTCATGGGACGCCGAATTCGCTAAGGGATTGCTATTTCACGCCGTTGCAGGTTTCAAAACAAACGAAAGGTCAAAGAAGGCGGGAGGTCAATACTTACATCAAGTTTCTCCTTCTTCGCAAATTGTTCCCAATCCTTCGCGAATACACCTTGCTTCCAATCAAGGTCGATCGTGAGCGTTGCTGTGGTGCGTGAATCCGGCTGCCAGAAACAGACCGCATAATTGCCCGACTCCTTCGTTGTGTAACCAAACTGCCCTCTTTCCACACTCTCTTGGAGATGAAGCTGCTCGCCATACGGCGACGTTACCTGTGCAAGGTTGCATCGCCAATCACACAACACGGCGACGCGGGTCAACGGGAACATATTCCACTGCGATCTTTGACCAAAAAGCCAGACAAGGCAAACGTGATAATAACCAGCAGCACATACCACAAACAACAGTGACACGCAACCCAAACGAAATGTCGAGGTCAAGATAGCGCTATGGGCGTTCCAAAGTCCTGCCTACCCTTCTTGCCACAAACACAACGCCGGGGGATGACATCTGTATCTGGCCTGAAAGTTGAATTAGATTCGGCTGTAATGACCGGGCGCTGTGTTCGGGGAAAGATGGATAGTAGCGAGAGGAATAGGTGCACCAGCAGAGACAGTAGCAATTTCACCAGGGTCAACCCCTCCCAGTGGCAGTGGCTTAAAAGCCTGAACTCTGTGTCTCGCCCCATGTGCGGATTTCCTCTCTCTAGCATCCGGGCACAGCAAGTGAAAAAGATGCACAACCCTTTCGCTTCTCCCACGCGTAGTCATCATCAATCCATATCGACCAATCAACGAAAACAAAGTACGCAATCCTTAGGCTTCACCCCGAGCTCCCCTGCGTAGTCATCAATCCATATCCAACAATCAACGAAAACAAATTACCAAAAAAGCTCGTAAAGGGACATAGTCAACTGGATCTAGCCGTAATTGTGCCCTATGCATGGAGGGAAATCCTAGCGTCGTTGTGTATGTGCCCTTAGCATAGGTATATCCCCAGACTGGCGCGAAATCCTTCATGCAATCTGGAAAAGCAGCAGTCCTAAAGACGCCATCGCTACTTCCGATCGCAGACGTGTACGCTGATCAGATCGAAGATGCGTTCTTTAATCAGATCAATCAAATATGTCTATTATAGTCAGATAACCAATCCTAAGCAGGACGATGGAATGCCAATCCATAAGAACACGGAAGGACCGCAGAGAACGAAACAGTCGGGCAAGCAATGACCAATCTGCTCCTGAACAAGACACCTTCATTGACATGAAATGTTCCAACCCTCGTGATCATCAGAACTCAGAACTTCACTGCACGTTCCTGTACGCGTTTTAACCAGTTGGGCGCCGGCAACATTAGGAGGCAATCCACTCACTCTGCCTTTCGCCTCCGACCTATCATCCAACAAACTCAGCATCAGGAGGACTGACTGATACGGCCTTGCCCCTCGTCATACACCTAACCCTACCCGCTTTCACGACTCTTTTCGAAATCCTATTGGATGCAGCGCAATTGGCAAGGATTCACGGAAATTGCCCGCCCGGCGGGCACACGCGTCGACAGGAAACCACCGCTCCACCGGAGATATTTCGAAATTCCACTACCAGAAAGGAGGACAATCCTCTTTTCCCTTTGAAAGAACAGGTCGGGATCCGGAAAGGGAGCGGGAAAACTACTGTAGCAGCGGCGCGGGCGCGTGGGACTACGGTTAGTGTTCCCGCTGTCTGCAGTCCCCGAACATTCAAACGACTATATCACTCCAGAGATAGTCAAGAAGTCGACGACCTTAGTATGCCTCTCTCAGGTACGGATAGGATTATAAACTACTAATTAATCCTACAAAGAACGACTTTGAACTTCGAAAAACAAGGTGCCTGACTTGCGTGCGGCTGCCTGACCGCTCATGAAATCTACTTAGTCTGTACTTGCAAGCATTTGTCGGCCATTGCTTTCTCTACTCTACCGTCTTCCCCCGAGCACAACGCACCCTAAAATGAATGTATACGAGTTATACTTCCGGCCAGATACAGCCAAAATGAGGGTGCGTTGTGTTCGGGGGAAGACGGTAGTCTTCCATTACAGAGTTCATTCACCCGCAACTATAGAGTGCTACCATGGGTGGTTTGGCGGAGTTGATCGCCAACCAGAATTTCTCAGTTCTCAGCGCCTACTGTGACTCAGCCATAGGAGACCAATCTCAGTCCCCGCCGAAGAGCTAGCTACTCACGCCGCGTGCGCTCAACACATTCGTCTGATCCCCATCATCCGCACGTTGGCCACGTCATGCTTTACGACAAACAACCTGAGTGAACCTTCTGATGACCAACCACGTGGCATTGACAGCCATCAAGGACAAAACCTGGGACAGAAACGACAACATACAGTATCCTGTTAGCGACGCTAACAAAGAAAAAAGAGACCGAGTAGAGAAGAATGAAAAGGTAGCCTGCGGAAAGCCCGGTCTGAACGCTGCAATATACTAATGCCGGAAATAAGACCTTGCCACCCATCGTCAAACCTCAACTTACTCTTTCCATTACTTGCTTGGATTCGTCGCCAATCATGCCCTATAAATCGCCGCATTGACGACTTTTTTCGACAAGAGAAAAACTAGCATGCCCCCCGCAAAGTAGAGCTCGGAATACCCACACTACAAAGTCGGTAGCCACGTCTTCTCTCTAACCGGATCCTTCTCCTATTATTAGACTAAAAAAAACAATAACCACGCTCAAAAGATCGCAAACCGCATACATCGTCGACAAGTGACAACTTTCACTTTATCGGTACATAAAGGTCGAGTCTTCCGGGAGAGACATAGTAATACTACGTAATACTAATCCCACCGATCTATTCTCAACTCCGTCGAAAGAAAAGATCCGCAATTTGTGAGGCGCACGACCGTCGTCTTCAGCCGAATCGAACGCACTATCATAACGGCTGGAGCAAGTTTCAGTCTAGATACAGCGATAACGACTGGGCCATCTATTACTGTATGTGGTAAGACGCAGAAGGAAAAGGTCACACAATACGCGATCTGCTTTACCGAACGCAAACCCTCGTTGACATTACACACGCGCCTCACCCACCAGGCCCGAACACAAAAACCCGGCCGCCGCCATACGCAACTGTGTCCCCAGATGATCGTCCGCTCCACACCCTAATTTGGCCTTCGAAAGCAGATGACGCCCATACCGATGACGTTCATCCCGAGGGCATTCCATTCACCCTTTGCAGGGATCTATAGCGGGTCTTACATCGCATCAGCCAGTCTGGATCATGAACGTCATCCCCCCACTCACGAAAGAACTACTACGCAAATCGATCCTCGACGCGATTTCCGCGCGTACTCGTACTGAGCTCTACGCACCGCGTGATTTCATTTGTCTATAAAGACAACCAAAATAGGGAGAGAGACTGATATTCGTCAGTGAGGTCCATCTCTACTACTTCAGACTCCGAAAAAAAAAAAAAGCGGAAGGAGAAAAGAATAGCAGCCCCCGACGGAGAGAAACAACTGCGAAAATTGAAAAAACACCAGAAAAGACCACCGATGACAGGGAGGAGAACCGCGCACACCCAATACAGCATCGTGATGCACGAAACCGCGAGTGATTACCTAACAGCAGCAAGTGCAAAAGAGCGAGCGGTCGGCGAATGGATAAAGCGGCGATTTACTACGAATGATAGTGGTTTCAAGGAAGAGACCTATGACGAGCAGTACCTGCCTGGGAGGGAATACAACCATACAGAGAGGGACGTAAGTAGCTGCACTTGGATCGACGATTCAGAGGGTGAAAATATACCTGGGAAAGGAATATGCCAGGACAGAGAGGGACGACGAGAGGGAAGGAATAGCAGTAGAAGAAAGGGACGACGAGAGACCAACTACCTTCTTCCCCCGAATACGACGTACGGTCATTATAGCTGTATTTGGGGTATCTTCTTTGTCTAAATGCGGCTATGATGACCGTACGTTGTATTCCGGGGAAGAAGGTAGTGACAATGGATCCAAAGGAAGAAAAGATACCTGGGAAGAAATATGACAGGACAGAGGGGAGACAAGAGGGAGGGAATCTGACAGCACAGAAAGGGACGACGAAAGACCAAGTACTGACAACGGATCCAAGATTTGGAGGAAGGAAAGGTGTCTGGGAAGGAGTATCACACGACAGAGAGGGAAGACGAGATAGCTACTAAGCTACCGGTGGATCGTCGTCGATTTGGGGGAAGAGGGGATGGCAGCAAACAGAGTGACTGACTGAAATTAAGGTGGTGATAGCTCCACGATCTAGAGGAAGAGAACGAACTGAAAATTGACCCTCTCCCCGAGCTCTGCAACTGCCGCCTCGAGGCCAAGATGAGATTCACTGACAGCCTACGAGTCAGACTAAAAACACAGGAAAGAGTGTTATCGGAAAGTGTGTTCATAACTCTCAAGGAGAAGGAGAACATCCGAAAGCCATAGCGCAGGATACGCGGAGCCTCATCTCATATAGACAACATACCATAATTACAGTATGTTCCCTTGTAATCATGCAAGTATCACTATATGTCTGCATTCACATTGGACAAGAAGGGGGGGAAGAAGATGACGAGGCAAAAAAAACACCATGAATGAACAGTAGAGAATAAAATACTTGCACAGGGAAGAACAGACAGAAACAAGAGAAGTGATAATTTGTAAGCCGCCCAGATATCAGCCATGTACCATCTACACCTGGCAAACAAACGATCCCCGAAGATTCGCCATCACAAGAACTACAATACCACATCACGGTAAGCATCGTCGAACATAACTGTGGCCAGACACAACACAGCAACGGGGCACGGCTATTCTCACGACAACTGAGCGAGCCCGCCAAAACGACAGAGCCATCGTAAGTGATGTCACCAGAAAGACAACTCTTCTACGGCGAGAGATTGCTGAAGCAGGCCGATCAAAATCGATGCCTTACTACTATGTCGAAAGCCCCTATAAATAAAGAAAGTCAATCTGATGCAGAAGCAGGATATTCACAAACAACAACAGCTCAGCAAACGGAGGAGAGGGACGCAGGTTACAAAGAAGTATACGTACTTTAACAGAGACTTTGTTTACTGAAGGATCACCGCCGGTTACCCCGATAACCTGATAATCGCCAACAACCAACACATTTTTCTGAATCTCCTCTCCAATACACTTGGCGTGCGGTCCGATCAAATCAAATCTCAACCCCTCCGCATGAAACACGAGCACGGCTAACGTAAATAGAGCAGCCCAGAGGATCGCACTCGAAGCCGACGCCATGGCTAGAGTCTCTCTTGTCTTGTCTGTTCTTCTCTTCCGGCCGAAATCCCTTGTTACCTTCCCTTGACAGTAAGCAAACCTCTCTCCGTGCCTACCTGCTTAATACCAAGCACTCTGGAAGAAGCATCAGCGAGGCGAGCGGACACAGATAAAGAACGGCCAGGAAAAGATTGCCGCCTCCAGCCGCTAACGATATTTTGAAACCTACCCCCGCAAATATCGCCGTTGAAGTTCTTCGCTCTTCTTCCTATTCGTCTTCTCCTGCTTCACACCCCGATACGACTCATCCACTTACGAAAACGAAACGCGGAAGGGCCGAAACCCTACTACCTCAGCTCACTGACCAAATAGACATGACGATGACGAAGAGAACGAAGAAGACGAAGAAGCGGGAAGATGTCACCAGCCAGTCAATCAGGTGAAAATGTTGTGTTGGGCATGCGACATCTGTCGCACGCACGTCCAAATCGTCGCTCGCCCGCCCGACCGGCGACACCCTCGAACAACCTTTGCCACGTCGACACGGCTAGTGACCTTTCGAGGTGAAAAAGTCGCCGGGAGGAAAAAAAGGGGAATAGAAATGACCTTGGGACCACCTCTATCAGCGGCCCCACGGTAGGCCCGGGAACAAGTCCCTCTTAGGCTGATTCTTCATTTCTGACCGTCGATCTCTGTAATCTAAGGTCTGAAATTGGGAATCCAAGTAAGAGGGACATGGTCCCCGCTGTTCAGCCTGGCTTTCGCGTGACAACTAACTCGTTCTCCTTCGCGGTTACTCGTCGACTCGGATTCGGAAAACAACAGAGGTGTCCACAGAAGTTCCTACCAATCCCCATCGTCGAGCAAGCAAACGAGTACCTTTCCGCGCGTTCTCTGTTCCCACTCCTCACTGGGGACAGGGGAGCGTCCCCCCTCCCACTTCGCTCTCCGCACTCCCCCACCCCCGCAGGAGCTCCTTGCTAGAACATTGACCGTTCGATACCCGGAGATACCGTGACGGAGATTTTTATTTTAGTTTTCTTATCACTCGTTCAGTTATAATATTGCAAAAACAAGAAGTTGAGGCCGGGGACCTCACAATTCCACCAGGAGTTATCCTGGCAGCATCAGCCAATTCAGCTTATTGCACAGGTCTCTTCCAGATAAAATAAGAATTACAGAGTCCCTTGATGATGGCAGATCGCACAGAAGTGAGTCAAGAAAATGGAGTCAAGAAAGTGGGCCGCAGGTCCGCACACCGTGGGCAGATAGAGAGGGTGGGCAGGACCACTTCACCAAATCAAGGCAAGAAAAAGGACTCTACCTCTGAAAAGACCTAACCCTTGTGTGGTGTTCACACAGGTTTGCATTCGCAATGAATGCAGCGAGCGGTCGAGGCCTAGAAGGCGCAGCTCGGGAAGGTTCTCAAACTATTGTTGCTGGACAGGCGCCTGTGACTTATACTGTCGCAGGTCAAGGCAGTGGGAGTGGAAGGGCCAGTAAGGCCGTTCTTCAGCCTGGGTGAGTGTTACATCGAACCTGGAATGTCAAACCCCGAAGATCATAGATGCTTGGTTGGAGTGCTGGTCGTCGTAGATTGTCAAGATAACGAAAGTCGCGATGCTTGTACTCCGTGGATTTAGTGAATCTAAGGTAGGAGAAAACGGGTCTGTAGCAATAACTTCCCGGTACCGATTCCCAACCATCGTCCCATGGGTATAGTTGATGCAGACTGAAGATTTGTTTTCTGTTGAATCTGCTCCGTCCACTTAATGTCCAACCAGATGCACAGTTGCCACCTCCTATACCGCCCAACTCTTTCCATCATCCCGCAAGTGACATCGTCGTCTTGCAGGGAATGGTGGAACGAACGATTGAGCGATGGCGGCTGGAGACAGAAGCGTAGCACTCCTGAGTTTGAAGGTGGATACGAGGCTGGGCTTGAGTGGAGCAGCGTCTTGGTTGGCGAATATGGGGCTGGGCGGCGATGGAGAAGTGGAATGAAGAAACTTCTTTTGGCTTTGAATGAATGGTTGGATCGCAACAGTGTTGGGAGGGACTTCATGACCTGTATTGACTTGGATGTGTTGTCGTTCGTCAGCAGCAGTATATTCGGGAGAAAATGAAAGTGTTGAAGGTTATCCGGGGGCTCAAGCTTATCGCGATGGTGGGACGTTTTTGTATTTATGGGAAAGTTGGCAACGTTGTAGTGAGGGATTGAGACTTCAGTATAAGGAGATTGATATTGAACAAAGGGTTGTGAGGTCGGGATATACTAAAACAAATCGTCATGGTGGAAGGTTTGTGATAAGATTATGGGATCTGCAAGACGGGGATAAGACCTTCTTGGGGTGGCTTCCTGAATTATTACAGAGTTATGATCGGTTGGGTCAAGATGTAAAAAAGGGATATTTGTTTCGGTCTATGCGTGGTGATGGTCCTGTTAGTGGTGGTGGATTTAAGAAGCGCATAAAGAAATGGTTTAAAGAGGCAGGTGTATATGAGGGGGAGAGTGGTCATAATTTCCATATCGGGGGAGTTTAGGCGGGAATAGAGGATGGTTGGAGTCTGGGAGAGATGATGCGGCAGGGGACGTGGAGTAGCGTTGGGATGTTTATGAGATATGGTTACGGGATTCATCATGTTTGGAAGAGAAAGGGTGAAAAAAATATATTAAGTGGAAAAGAAGATTGTTGTGAGGCCCAGGATTGCAGGATTGGGGGTGTTGAAATGCACTCTAGGGCTGGGAAGACAGGAGAATCTTGATTCGGGGATGGTGAAACGGTGCGTGATGTTGAGTGAGAGTAGTATACGAGGGTGCCAGGAAGTGCGTTGCGAGGAGGGGAGTATGAGAAGGTAAGAAGGTGGGCTAGCGAGTGCTTTGGAGAGAGTGTGGTGTAATAATGACGTGGGCGGAAAAATTCATCGGTAAGGGAGGGATGACAACAAGTTCCAGTCTAATGAGAGAGCGTCTATTTGAGATATTTTGGTTGACCAGGTTCTGGAGACGAAGGTCGAGCAGGTGTGATGATAGTCTGATGCAAAGAGGTCAATAGCTGGTATACCTAGTGTGGAGAAAATTTCAGTCTTAATGTGACCTACTAAACCCCAATCGATGTTGTCTTCTATTTTGGAGATGGAATTAGCGGTTGTATTTAGTGTTCTAGGTATCCAGACAGGGTTGAGTAGTGAATCGAAAAGAAGTAAGATGGAGACAACTTATCGTAACCATGGGTTGAATGACTCGTCTATTGATTTCATTCGGAGGAGTAGTGATGTGGTTGTTTGGCTATTTGAGTGTAGTCTAATAGACGCAGAGGAAAGGAGTAGGGGGTGAGCTGAGGCGATAAAACGGAATGTTTCAAGTACAAAGAAAAGTTTTTTGTGTGTAGAAGAGGTTTTTAGCAATGATTGCGGTAGACATTGGTTGAGTGTGATAGGGTGATAGTTGAGGGGATGTATGATTGCAGTGATTTGAGTTGTCGAGGCGTCGGTAAATATGGTGAGGGATGTTAGGCGAATGATCCAAAGTCTGCCTGGTAGGTGAGGCAAGTGAGAGATCCACCAGATGAGGTCCTGGATGAGGTTGTGTGAGGTGGTGATGGGGGAGGCCCAATTGGCAGGTGAGATGTGAAATGTAAAGGTGGGTGGGCATGAAGGCTTTTGAAAGGGAAACAAGTTTTCATGCGAGTTTGATGATAGTTCTACTAGAGGGGTTTGAGGAGGTTTGAATGAGGTTAAGTATTTTTTGTATTTTGTCTTTTGAAACCCTTACTTATTTAGAGTGAGAATCTAGTGTGAAACCGAAAAAACGAATGGATTGAGATGGAAGAAAATAACATTTATGAGAGCTGAGAAAGAAACCTAAGTTATGGAGTAAGGCGACATAGTTGAAGGGTTGCCATAGGAGAAGGGGAAGATTCTTGTTGGCGAGTGTCGAGTCGTCTATGTAGGATGAAACAAAAACGTTGCAAGTTTGAAGTTCAACCATGATTTATGGCGTTACAGTTGTGAAAATCCAACGGCCAGTGGAAATGTCGAAGCATAGAGTTGTAAATTGGTAGTTCTGACAATTCCAGTTGGAAGCTAAGTACGAGCGAGAGGTTGGGTGGACTGGGATATGATAGTAGTCATTTTTAATGTCGAAACGAGTTAGGAAATCTTAAGTTTGAGAGCGAGATAGGTGAGCACTAGCGTCATTTATTGATTCGTAATGGAAGGATGAGAAGGTGACGAAAAAGTTGACAAAGCGAACGTCTAAGATAAAGCGAGTTTTGAAGTTGCTTTCTGTTGCGAAGACAGGGTTGATTACTAATGGATGCTGAAAAGGTTCTATGACTTTTATTGAGAGGAGTTGTAAGACTACTGTGTAAATGAATTTGTTGTGGTGGGGGTTGACGTTGTGGTTGGGTATGGTAAGAGGTGGAGGAGACTTGAGTTCGAGGACTTGCTTAAAGCGGGAGGCAGAAAGGACGGTTTTGACCATTCTTCCGACTTTTATGATTTTGGGGGTTGGAATGTGAGAGGTGTCTTTTAACTAAAGTCTGATACCGTGATGAATCCATTGAAGTACGGAGTAGGAATATCTTATAGAAAAGGATGAGAGCAGGAGAGACCAATTGAAAAAATGCTTTGAAGGGGAGGCAACAAAGAAGTCACTAGGGTGCCTTAACCATGATGAATGTTCTTGGAGTGCGAAAGTAGCGAGACGAAAGTCAAAGTTTGATGGTGGATTTTTAAGATTAGAGAGAATGGTTGGAATGAAGGGGATAGGGAATAGGAGAGGGTTATTGAGTGATTCTTGCGGAAATGTCTGGTGTGGTTCGGGATTGCTCCAAGTGTTTGCTGTCGTAACCAGAGTGCGACTTCTTGTTTGCTCTATAGTAGTCGTAGCCTTTGTCCTTGTCATCTTCAAAGTGGCTCTTGGATAACGATCTCTTGCCATCTTTGGTCTTGAATTGTTTGTCCTTCTCCCGGTATGATGAATATTCGGATTCCGGAATTTCCAATCTGCATCATAAACAAGATATTTGCATAAACCCCTCAACGCAAACGGTGTGGACCTATTGACGGTCGGGGGCCGATAGTAGTAATAATCGGGCGACGACCCTTTGCTTACCTGTGAGCGTCGCGTCGAATGAGGCTCATGCAGTAGTTATATTTTGCCTTGACGATGGGGACGAACTTGTCCATAGCTTGTCTCGACGCCTTATCTAGTATCTGCTTTACAGGCTTTATGATGAGAGGTTCGATGCAGTCCTTGGCTACTGAGGCCACTCTTGCGCAAAAGTCAGCAGCGAAAGCTTTGCCAAAAGGATAATATGAGTAGTTCATGTTGATCTCGAGGAAATGAATGTAAGCATCGATCTACGAGTAGTAGCAGGGTGATGTAAACGTTGCCTTCCATGCAGTGAGTTCGTCGTAAGCAGGTTGCGACTTGCCGTTAAGTTTTTGTTGGATCCCGTTCATCTCGGATTGGAGCTTCTGGTACAGTTAGTTGAGGCTTAAATT